GTCGGAGTATTTACCCGGGGAATAACTCCTCGGGCCTTTGATATCTTTTTTGGTTTCAGATGTTGCTGGGCGGCTTCATCCTTCCACTTCGGCTTCACCAGTTGGCAGAACAATCTAACTGCGACCTCAATTCAGGACACCTCGAATCGAACAACATCATATACAATATAGGCCTTCATACAATCAAGAATATCTTGATCTTCAAGGCAATGCATTCAGTTTTTTTCTTCTTTTTAAGCTTAAAGGCTCAAGGATTGAAACTTGCGATCAATCTTCTCAAAAGCAAGATTATTGATGAAGCCTTTAAAGCACATATAAAATCCATAGGTTCTAAAGTTTTGGATATTGAGACTTGAGGTTACCGGTGGATTTAGTAATATGATGTCTTTTCTTAATATTATTTATGGTTGATATGATCTAAATTAAGCTTGGGATGCTATCCCGTGGCAGCAAGCAAACAATTGTTTCAGTGACAATTTTGGTTATATTGGTGTCTATAGCTCTAGTCGTCTATATATTCATAATTGTATATGATTTCATACATTAGTATTTACTAAACTCATAGTTTTCATCAGGAAATCACTAAAAAGAATGGTTAGAATAGACTCTATGTTTGGTTTCAAGTTGAAATCATAAAAAAAAAAAAAATCATTAACAGTATGTTTGAAATGATTTAGGTTTCGTAAAATCCAAGTACAACATTGAGCGTAAAAGATGACCCTTATACTGTACGGTACCTCATACACTAACCCATGTGACTCAGTATTGCATACTATATGGGTTGAATATCCTACCGTACGGCACCATAAAATGTTAAGTAATAAATATTTAATACTATTACTAACTTGATAATTTAATTACAATTGACTTAATTTACAATATTTAATGTTAGGGTTCAATTATGATGATACAAAGACATGATATTGTAAATAATTATAACCGGCATTAGGTGGATTTTCATCATAATTCATGGAGGATTTTGATTGGTCAAAGCCTTCCGATATCAATGTCATGTCTTCATTATAATTTATAATATCATATTTATAAAAATGGTTAATAAAATTAATAAGAAATCAAAATTAATTAATTTTAGAATCCTACAATTAATTAAACAATTAATACGAAATAAGATTAATTAGTAAATTTAGTTATAGTTTTATTGTTATAATTATTATAATTAAGTTAATAAACTTAATTTTATTTAACAAAGTAAGGTGTATGTGAGGTCTATTGACCTTAACCACAAAGACTGCAGTACAAGTTTGATCCTATACACGCCTCCACTTTTGGAGGATGCCGATTAATATATATATATCAAATAGGTTGGGGTTAGGTTACTATCCAATCTAATGTTAATATAAAATCGAGCCTGAACCCAAATTGATATCAAAACGCTACCCAAGTCTTATTAAATTTCTATTTTTTTTTTTTTTTGAGAAATAGTCCAAGGCTAACTACATTCTATAACTCAATCCAAAATTACAATAATTGTTCTAAGAATGAAGGAATCAAAAACCAAGTATGAACGCCACATAGAGCAAGTCCACGACGTGCCAGATTATGGGGGGTAATATTTCTAGGTTCAAATCTATCAGAGGAAGAAGAAAGGTGAGAAAGTAAACTCTTCCAAGGCTGCAATCACCAAATTTCTATTCTATTCATGGTCTACTTGCTATTCTAAATAGAAAAGGATAAAAGGATAAATTACAGATAGGTACCTTATATTTTGGGGGTAGGGACAGATACCTGATTTTTCAATTGCAACGCTTGACTACCCTAAACTCTCGAAAATAAATACTTAGGCCCATTTGTTAGTATTCTGTTAGTTAAACATTATGTAATGTCAAAAATATCATTCTTGTGTATTTTTTATATCATTCTATAGAGTAAAAATCACTAGAGAATGTCGTTGTTAGAAAATTTGAATCTGTTATTTGTTGTCCATATGAGAATGTTATCATGGGGAAATGTTCTGTTACTTGAGAATGATCTAGAAATACACGATAATGGCACTTTTTACATTATATAATGTTTAACTGATGAAATACTAAAGGATATGCCCAAATGTCTATTTTTGAGAGTTGAGAGTACAAGTGTTACAATTGAAAGTTCAAGTACCTGTCTGTCACTACCAAGTACAGGTTAAAATATTCTCATAATTTTTTTGTTAAAATAAGGGAAAATTCCCGATAGGTACTTTGCACTTTAGGTCGAGTGTCAATTTAGTACTTGAACTTTAAAATGCGACAATGTAGTACCCGAACTTTCAAAATGTGACAGTCTAATACCTGCGGATAACTATATGTTAAGTGTTATGAAAAAGACATAAATGCCCTTCAAGTGTCATCTAATTTTTTTTATCAACCATCTACAAGTCTGCAACAACTATAGAGGGAGGCCAAGCACCTACAGACTGTTGAACCGTCACCCAGAACCTAGTGGCCAGATTGGAATGACACCCACCGATTGCTGGCACCTCCCTATAGTCTACAACTATTGGATTGGGACTTTTCAATCATATCTATTGATCCCAGTCTGTGTAGTGTAGCCGGTGGGTGCACTTGAAATGCGTGGGGAAGAGTGGAATTTCTAAGCTTATTGTGATGGTGGGCAGTCAGTCCATTCACCTCTTCGTGCCATTGATCTGACGCGTTCAGTGTCACGACAGCTTGGAAGGCAAGGTTGCCTTGACCATCGGAGCAACAAGAGGCATTGGAAAGGCAACAACGACAGAATTCATAAAAAATGGGGCCAAAGTAGTGATCGCGGACATCCAATGCAAACTTGGCCAAGATGCAGCATTGGAGCTTGGACCCAATGCGACCTTCGTCTCTTGCGATGTTACCTGAGAATTGGATATCTCCGATGCCGTGGATTTTACCGTCTCAAAATACGGTCATCTTGACATCATGTACAACAATGTCGGGATCGCCGGGAACATTCCTCCCAGCATCGTCGACCTCGACATGATGGAATTTGACCAGATCATGAGCATCAATATACAGGGCGTTGTCGTCAGGATAAAGCACGCAACTAGAATCATGATACCTCGCTTTTCTGGCTACATCCTTTGCATTGGGAGCGTCATGACGTTGATGGGTGGGTTGTCGCCACCCGCATACTCCATTTCCAAGGGCGTCGTCATTGGGATCATCAAATCAGTTGCGGCCGAGATGTGCGGTGATGGTGCGCGATCTGGTCACTTCTAGCTGGAAGTGGCTGCGCTCCTAGCTGGCGACGGACGAGAGACACCTGTAAGGAAGAAGATGAAGGATCCTGGGGGGCTCACCCGGCGAGGTCACTCCGACAATTAAGTTAGTAAGCTGGGGGAGCAAAGGAGAAAGAGAGTTGCAGAGAAATTAAAGAGCTAAGAGTGTTGATCACGCAATACCCTCGCCCCTGGGGTCGGGGTCTTTATATACTGGTATTCTGACTTGTTAGGTTTAACCGCCTCCGTATCTCTACTGCGGCGATCTGCTGTCAGGTAACAACTTGGAGTGGCTGGCTATTTTTTGTCAGAGCTGAGCTGTCGGGCAGAGGTGATCGCTGCAGGGTACAGTCCTGCCAGACAAGAAACAACCTCCAGGGTTGGCAGTCACGACGCTGCCAGGTGAGAGACGTGGGTGTAGTCTGGCAGGTACGGATGTCAGGCAGAAAATCTTCTACGATACGTCGAACTGCTCCGCAACGAGCTACCTTACACTGAGCTGCTCTACAGCGAGCTACCTTACACCGAGCTGCTGGTGATGCGCCGAGGTGCTTCTTCCACGGCGGGTCCCTGAGGTAGCCTTAGGTAGGAACAAGCTTATGTTAGGGAGCTGACGAGCTTAACTTGAAGTATCTTCAGTTCGGGATTCTCCCTACTTGGGAGAATCTTAGCTCGGGGTGCTTCCTACTTGGGGGGAGTCTTAGCTCGGGGCAACGGAGTATCATCTTGTAGTGAGCTGCCACTTTAGGCGGGCTGTCAGACTGGGTCAGCAAGCTTCGTTACGCTGAGTTGTACCGAACTTGTTATGCTGAGCTGTCACTTATGTCGAGTCATGTCCACGTGCCCCCTTATTATGAGGTCGGGCCAAATCACCCTCCATCATATGGCATTTAGGTTAATTGTATCTCGTCGTTCGCCATTCCGACCCGTTTGTGATGGAAGAAATGGTCGATGTTTCTCGACATTGATAAGCAGTGCCTTGTGGAGATGGTTCAGGGTCTCGGAGAGTTGGCTGGGGCCAACTGTGAAGCTGAAGGCATTGCAAATGCTGCAATGGAGGCTTCCATTGCAAATGCCTCTGATGATGCCAAATACGTGAGCGCCCATAATTTGGTGGTGGATGGAGGCTTCCATCGAGAGACTTGGGTTCTCCCGAAACTGGATCTTTATTTTCTTGAGAAAGAAGATGGTGAATAGTGTGTTTTATTTTTAAGAGTAATTTTGACATTTCCAAAAGTCTTAATTCACACATGAGGTCACGTGATATATAACACTGACCGTCCATAAATTGTTGCATTTCGAAAGTTCAGGTACTAGATTGTTGCGTTTTAAAGCAACGCTTTAAAAAATGACTTGGAAATGGAACCGTTCTGGTCACTGGTTTTTGGGTCAACGGTTCAATTGTCCGGTTCGAATGAATGGCCCATTATGACAGCAAAATTAAAAAATTAAAAAAATAAAAAATGGTCAAAAACCGTTGAACGAGTCGACGGTTTGACCATCCAAGTCAACAGTTTATTGACTTTTTCAACGATTTTTGACCAGATTCCGGATTTTAGGTAAAACGAAACCGGTTGTCTGGACGGTTCCCGGGCCGAACGGTCCGACCGTCCGGGTCAACGGCGGTTCGAAAGCGTTGTTTTAAAGTTTGAGTAGTAAATTGGCATTCGACCTAAATTACATGTATCTATCGAAAATTCCCTTTAAATAACGAACATGTGTGCCGAAGGTACGCGTGAGAGAAGGGGTAGTATAGTCTTTTTCTACTCTCCATAAACCCGTCGACCGTCGTCTTCCTCCTTTGATCTCTTCTCTCTGTGCGTTGAAACGCACCGCTCCGCTCTCCTCCTCGACCCTTCAACAGGGTATCTGAGAACAGGATTGAATCGAGAGTGAGTTTTCCATTGTTTTTTCCTTTTTATTTTCTCTCATTATTGGTTTGCACTACTTCGACCAACCGAGATCCCTAAAACATTTGATTTAAAACCTTGTTTTATGCTCTCATCTCGCCGTCCTCTACCCTGCATTTAAACTTCGTGTACTTTGCTTTTGTGCTCCAATCCCACCATCTTTTCCCACAGGGTTCGGTGGTCGTAACCACTGAGAAACGTCTGAGATTGCCGGTTGTAAGTATTTGTCCTAGTTTTTTTTTTTTTGATATTTTTATGTTTTAATATAATCCGTTCCTCATTTATTTTAGATAAGATCTGCATTTTTTCAGGGTGCTTTCAACGAACTAGCGCTACTATTTGAGGTCTGCATTTGACCTGTTGCCACTGATGAACCAACGTTCTAAAATTAGAGGAAGCTAGTATGAGATACTTCTCGAAGTTCTAAAAATGGCAAAAGAAATTTACATTTTTGTCCGCGAGTTGAGGATACAATCTTTATTTTTATCACTGTTTTCTTAGATTCAGTTTGGCAAATCTTTTTGAAAGATTAGTGGGCTTTTAGAAGCCCGGTAGATCAAAAACTGTCTTTTTTTTTTTTGTTTTAGACCAAAAGATAAGACCCCTAAAAGACCTAAAAGTCCAAAATGGTCTTTATTTGAAAAGCTACAACCGAAACTTTTGGTCTATTCGGGCTTTTCACCTACATCTGGCAAAAATTCGAACTCAACGAAACATCCTTTGTTCTCCACTTTCGAAAGTGACTGAGAGGAACTTTGCCCCAAGCGACTGAGAAGCATCGACTCAGGTAGTTCTTCTCCTTTTAATTCCTTCAATCTTCTATTTTTTTTTTCATCGTTCCATGAATTTCCCCTTCTTCTTCTTCTTCTTCTTCTTCCATCAAGTAGTAATAGACATCTTTTCTTGTAGGAGGCTAATTACCAGCTGTTCTTCACCGTGTTCAGGTATAATCAACTGCCATTGCTCTTTTTTTTTTTCGGATTCCATTGACAAATTAGGCCCCAGGTTAGGGCTTGCCATTGCTCTTCTTCCAACACGCTTTGTTGGTGGATTTTTGCATTGCACATGTCCCATATGCGTCTAAACAGAATGAGGAATTTTGCAATATAAACCTGTTTGATGTTAGGTGACTTGCCCTGCACGTTAATGTTAAAATTGTAATTTAAGGTGGTTGTGGAGAGTTAAGGAATTGATTTCCATTAATCTTATTCAGACTCCAAGAAATGGACCTTTTAGGGAGGTTATAGTCAGTATTGATGATACTGTAGTTGGGGTTGTCTGGCCTTCTACTGTGATATACACTGGAGGGATCAATCCTCTGCTATGGAGACCCATCTCTGGAATTGGTTCTTTTGATATCTCTTCATATGATATTGATATTACTCCTTTCCTAGGAAAAGTTTTGGATGGAAGGCATCATCAGTTGGGGTTTAGTGTAACAAATGCTCTTAGTGTGAGGTACATAGATGCAAATTTGCACGTATGGTTGGATAAACAAAGTGCTAGAACTAAAGGAAAGTTGATTAAATATGATGTCCAACCTCATATGATATTGATATTACTCCTTTCCTAGGAAAAGTTTTGGATGGAAGGCATCATCAGTTGGGGTTTAGTGTAACAAATGCTCTTAGTGTTGAGGTACATAGATGCAAATTTGCACGTATGGTTGGATAAACAAAGTGCTAGAACTAAAGGAAAGTTGATTAAATATGATGTCCAACCTCTAGTGATCACCTTAGTTTCGGACTTCTATGGTTCAAATGGAGATTTTCTTACTACAGCAAGTAGGTTTTTTCTTTTGGCTGGATGGGTGAAGTCTTCTCATGGAAACATGGGAATGAGCAGGTTGTGAATCAAACAACAAATGTTAATGCCAATGTTTATTCTAGGCTCCCTTCTCATTTAGATTTTATTGCTTTATCTAGAAGGTTTCCCCTTTATTTGTACACTAACTTTGTGGATCAAGGAAATGGCACCTCGACTTCAATTTCAAACCTGCCCTTAGGATTCAACCAGCAGTTGTTTTCACATGGCCAATTTGGTTTCTCAAGGGGAAATCTCATGAATCTGTAGGCTGCACAGGGTTCTATGATTGTAATGGGGAGTTTGGTAACCGGTAGTCTGGGAAGCACTTAGCAAGTATTTACATATGATGGTAAAGATGGATGCTACTCTCAATGAGGAGAATGGAATTGCAAGAGTTTCTGCACATACAAATGGCAGTCCATGCATGTGTCGTCATTTACATTTATATGGAATATAAGGTTACGTTTGATTGCAGTATAAACTTCATTCACCATGGTCTAGATTCATGGAAGCGTAAAAGGGATGAGTGTAAATTTTGGTTTACTTTTGCTTCATGTATAGGCTTCCCTATCATTTCCTGCCCTTTCTTTCAAACTAAACACAGCCTATGAAAGAGAATGGAGATAGGAGCTGGGTTATGTGTTTAGAGTAAGTAGGATGCAGGATGATCTTCACTTTTATTTATCAAAAAAAAAAAGATGATCTTCACTCTATATGAGAAATAGAGAAAGAACTGAGGTAGCGGGAAGTTGGTGCAAATTTTGCATCAGTTTTTGGGATGTAAAATTTACAGTCATTGAATGTAAAAAAGACAAAAAGTATAAATTTTGTATCAAGTAAAAATGAAAATCATAATTATAAACAAACAAAAACAAAACTGAACCAAGTATGACTTTTGCTCCAAAGATTTGCACTGCAACAAAAAAATGACAAAACAAAGGGTTTGTTTGGACCCCTCTCTGAGTGTTGTAGCTTGACTGTAGATTCTGTTATTTGGACCCCTCTCTTTAGAAGGAATCTCTTTGACTGGGAGCTTGAAGAGATAGTGAATATGTTGACTCTTCTCCAGAATCAAAAGGTTGACATTCTTTCAGAAGACAAGTGGTGCTGGAAGTGGAATCCGGATGGTGTTTTCTCTGTCAATTCATTGGCTTCTAAGCTTTGCAGAATGGGTGTCACTGATTTCCCATGTTCTCAGGTGTGGAATCCTATTAGTCCATCTAAATCCAACTTTCTGATTTGGACCATGGCTCTTGATAAATGTCTTTCTAGAGCTAACCTTGTGAGATGGGGCATTCAAATATTGGATCTATCTTGTGGT